TAATACCATCCATTTTTCATAAAAATTGAGCAAGATACAGCATTTTTAAACACAACGCTTAAAATTGATTAAGCACCTAATAGGAACAGACATTTAAACGCAGAGTAGCAACGGGCATTTAAACGTGCACCAGCAGCGGGCATTTAAATAAACTCCGGCCAGCTCAAGCTTACCACTATTTCGAAGTCCGGCGTTTAAAGATTAAATAAGTAGAATGACTGATAAACAGCATATAAAAATATTCTAATTTATTCACAATTAAGATAAGTAACAATTCCATTTTTTCACAAGTATGTACAAGAACTTAATAGACTAAACTGGCATACTATACAAACAGACGATTTTTCTTACAAAATACAATTAAGTAAAATAACTTGATAAATGTTTTTCTTTTCTTGTAGAAGATTTCACTGCTGAAAATTCCTTTTTCATGTCTGGATTTGTACATCTCTAACACACAGTAAAACAACTTGGCAAATGCTTTTCTTTCCTTGTAGATGATTTCATTACTGAAAATTCCTTTTTAAAGTCTGGATTTGTATATCTGTAACACACAGTAAAACGATTTCTTAAAAATGTATGTTAAGCGATATAGATACTTCACTGCACATGAACTTACATGATTTTTCCTAGGAACTGGAACAGAATGAAAGCAACACTGCATTCACACTCTGATGAAAGGCTTGTTGCAGGAAACATGATTCTGGTCAAAGGGACAATGTTTATGAAACAGACAATTTATATCTATACATGTAAACATACAAAATTGCCTACAATCCAGATTTCTTTACTGCTGAATCAACTCATTTCCTGAAAGTCCTGCTATCAGATTTACTGACATTCGCTGTTTTACTGAGATGCTCATATGCATAATATTCTATACCCCAAATCATGGCATTTGATCGAAATGCAAACTCTGCCTATCGCTCTCCACTTTGGTACCCAAGATCTTGATGTAAGGACGAAGTTGGGCACATATCGGCTGTGGCCTGGTAACAAGCCTACTGCCTGAAATTTAAAAGTTTTTCAGTTATTTCAAATTCATGTGTGTGTCCACACTTATGTCCAACTTAAAAGTGTTTGCTACTGACAAATTAAATAATGAAATTTTTTTTTTTTGTCAAGAATGATCTTTATGAAGTTGACAAGTTGCATTGGCACTGCAGCAACAATTTTAAAATTCTTGTTTGTTTTTCTATATATAAGTGTGGTTTTGTAGTTTTTGACAAATTTATGTTTGTACTTATTATTGCTAGTGGGGTGGGACCAAGGCCCTTGTACTGCGGCCACTTCTGGCCTACTGTACCAATGCTTGTACTTAGCTTCATAACTTGTACTCTTCTCCAAGTATAATTAGAATGAACAATTCAAGGAGGATGTGGTGGGCAGGGCATGTAGCATGAATGGGGGAGAAGAGGAATAAATATAGGATATTGGTGGGAAAGCCAAAAAGAAAGAGACCATTGGGAAGACCAGGGCGTATGTGGGTGGACAATCTTAAAATGGATCATAGAGAGATAGGATGGGATGGTATGGATTGGATTGGTCTCGCTCAGGATAGGGAATAGTGTAGGGCTCTTGTGAACATGGTAATGAACCTTCTGGTTCCATAAAATGCTGGGAAATCCTTGAGTAGCTGCAGATTTGGCGACTCCTCAAGAAGGGCTCAGCTCCATAAGTAAGTTAGTAAGTATGTTTGTACTTTCCTAATGTATAAGTATACATATTTTTGTTCTTTACTAATAATATGTTAAAGAGAAAACATAAATTTAACAGCAAATTTTGAACAAAATTTCCTTGCTTCATAGCTGAGAGTAACAAAGAATGAAACAGAATACATTACTTGCAAACTGTATCAGTAGCAAACAAACACAGTTATAATTTGGAAGCATTGCCAAGGGTAAGAAACAAATCCACAGTTGCTGTAACACCCCACAGGATTGTAATTTTTTTCTACAACAAAATTAAAAAAACAGAGCAGCAAGTAATAGCAACAGAAAGTATACTGTTATTTCATGCTGTAAAATATCACTTATATAGATCTATGGACTGCACTTCCAAAATATGTCACATCATATAGTCAGAACTAAAATAATTTACCAGTGAAAGAACAAAAAGCTGAAGCCATTGTACATAATGCGTTTGTTCCACATTCAGTAGCAATAGCAATTCAGGATTTAAATTAAACATCCTGCTCACATGTCTCTAGAGATGGCAGAAATCATGGTACACTGAAACTACTTCCTGTCGGGATATAATATTATCATAAAGTTCCTGGCATTAAATAAAAATTTATAGATCTGAATAGCACACCATATGAAAAATCAGAAATGACAGGGAAATGTGTCACACAAACGCTGAAAGACCAAGGCCTCTTTACTAAAGCATTCTCTGGTGACATCATAATAATTTTAGAGAAATCAATCACTCTGGAAATACCTGCATGACAGGTGATGATGACATAAGGGTTTCAAATAAAACTTTGTTACAACTGATGTTGTGTTTTGGTTTCTATGTACACACAGGTCTACAATGAACTTACAAATCTGCCTCCAATTAAGGGTTTAGAGGATGCTCATCTGATAACTGAGAAATTACATGTTAGGTAGCTGAATCTCTTCACATCACATATTTACCAGACATTTAGTATGTTTTTTTTTAAGCTGGGAACATAGTGGGAAGAACAATATTAAACACAATTCATGATTTACATAGGTAGCTGCCAAACAAACCTTGTCAATTCAGCCTTCTGATGAGTAACAGAGAGAAATTTCCTAAAACATCCATTTATTACTTCTCTACAACAGAGACAAAAACAACTCCCTAGTATGACTGTTTAAGTTTTATCACTTGAAAACTCATCACCCTTGCATGTTTCGATCCCTACGGATCATCCTCACAGGCATCAATACTTTTTCCGGGAACTACTATCACAATAGGTGTTAAGTTATATACATACACATATAACGTCTGAAATACACAATGTTCAACCTTTCACAATCACAGCAGCCTTCCTGGTATTAAAAATTTTTATTTTTTAAGTTTTTTAAAAACTTGTACATTGTGCATTTCAGACATTATATGTGTATGTATATAATTTAACACCTATTGTGATAGTAGTTTCCGGAAAAAGTATTGATGCCCTCTGAGGATGATCCATAAGGATTGAAACATGCAAGGGTGATGAGTTTTCAAGTGATAAAACTAGTCACACTAGATGGAGTTGTTTTTGTCTTTGTAATTGTTAGTGTGACGGACCAGAATGAAACAAATCAAATTCTCTACAACATATATGATTTTGAAGAAACATAATTTTACACATTACAGTACAGTGAAAATACCTATGTTAAGTCTGTGATCCATGCAGGTCATCATAAGATACTGTGAATCACTATTATCCATACTTTATTAAACCTTTTTATTCCTTGGTCCAAATATTTTCTATTCAGCAATGTATTCATCCCACCACTAAAACCTTTAGATTATCTCTAAACTGAACCAAGACAATTTAAAATACTGTATTCTTTATAGAACGCAAGACTCAGGGCCATGCACTGTACATGGACTTGTAACTGATTCATTCATCCTATGCAGAATATAGTATTATATTGGGGTGAGGATGTCGAGGCCATGAAGTGAGACTGTGAAGCCAGACACTGACCCACCATTAATTTGTTGCCCCTGTCGCTTCTTCCTTTAAAAGTGAAGCCCATCTGATCACACGATTTACACCACTTGTATATGGATATTTTGGTTGGCAATTCCCTTCAGAACACCATAGAAAATCTCCTTTCCAACATAACCTCAAACCTAGGCTCATAAAACCTCAGGGAACATTTAACTTTCACTCATATAAGAGGCTTAAACTTGGCGGCGGCCAGGCATACGACCGCTCAAGTGACTTAGACTGCCGTTGTAGCGGAAACTATTAGAGATAGGGCATAATCTGCTGTACTGAGCCTGGACTGACACAGGCCCTGTGTATATGGTGTACACACTCATTAACATGTATAATATGTAAAATATAAATATATTATACATTATGACAACTGACTATTACTGCAGACAATGACTTTGACAAAAGACAGACCCAGCCTCTAGTCAGGGAGGGCGCCACACAATGACAAGACAGTAAATGTCAAATAGCAACTACTATCTAGTCATGAGCTCTAAATAGGGCTCGACACCAAGCCCAACCAAGGCTGACCGATTGTCAGTCGCAATGTGACGTCGACTTTAACTTTAAACATCGCACGACTTCACACCCTTCTCCCCTCCACGCCCACTCACGCCTATGTACGCTTCCCGCGTTTCGCACGCAATTTAAACAACTACGACCGCAGTGCTTCAGGCGGAAAGATTACAAAACTGTGGCACAAATTTTAAATTTGATCATATTAGCGGTAAAGGAACAGCTGCCCTTGTGTTATTAGTGATATTGTTAACTATCAAGACACAGTAGGTTGAGACACTATGTTACAAGCCAGAAGGTCGCGGGTTCGAGTCCGGATCAGGTGGATTTTTTTTTTTCAATTTTCTTACTCCTTCCAGCCTCACTATGGCACTACGGGCGACTCTGCCCCTGACAGAATTGAGTACCAGAAATTTTCCTTTCCTGGGTGGGGGGAGGGGTTAGGGGCGGCCGGCGCGTAAGGCTGACACACTTAACGCCATCTGTGAGCCGACTGCCAAGACAAAATGTGGCAGCCTCGACATCTCACAACCCTGTGTGCCTTTATGGCCTCTGATAGGGATAGCTTTATCAAGACATTATTAAAAAAGGGGCTAGATCTTATGTTTCGCGCAACATTATGCGGAATATTGTAACTCTCTGACAATTAGAAAACATTATCTGTTGGTTAGATTGTCATCACGCGTGTCTTAACATTCGCTGGGCGCACGAATTACCAAACATGGTGGCCCAATCAAGAACAGGGGTATGCAACTCAATGCTATTGGCGGGCAACACAGNGAAGATCAAGAACCGCGTCCACTGTCTTCGAAGCTGCTTAGTAATCTGTAATCTCTGACTGTGGCTGGCATCGCGTTATCAGGATGCCATAGACGGCAATTGATCTGTGCTATTGTCTCTGCCAATTGTTAGCAAACGGAAGTTCCTATAATCATTGGATTACTGGCAGACTATGGTTTATGGGAATATGCATGACGTTTTTGTTTGAATTTAACCATGTGCAAGTGCATAGAAATGTATCCGGTTCAGTTCGTTGTGGTGTCTCCTCAGATAAATGGTCTGGGTTAAGTTTAACCTTGCAGTGACATACAATGGGAGAATCAGAAGTATAGTTTATAGTTTTAACAGAATAGCGATTATCTGCACATATGAAATAAAGTACTTACCGCGACGCAAGGTAATAATGTTATTAGCACCTATAGGTCAGTCAATTTTAGGAGGCGACAACAGCGTTCAAACCAATCGCTTGCCGTATAACAGTAGGCAGCGCAAACCGAGTATTGACAGCGACACAAGTTCAGCAGCCGACAGCCCTGATGGACCTTCTACTGACGAGTATAAATTTATTGAAACAGCACATGCAAAAGAGGTAAATTACATTTTTCAATCATGACCGCTAAGAGCTTCCATTTCCAATATATTGTACATTATTTTTCAGTAATCATGGGGGAAGAAGATACAAAATAAAAGTTAATTTTGGGCTTACGTACATTTTAATATCCACTCAAGAGCTGGAGTAGATCAGTCACTATCTGGACAGGGTATGTGTGGAATGGCCAGGGGTTAGATTTCCAGTAGGGGCAATAAGTTTTTCTCTACCTCACAGCATCCAGATCGATTCTGAAGGGCACCCAACCTTCAATCCACTGGGTAATGAGTGTGAAGCTGACCACTCACCTCTGTCTGGTGCCAAGGTCAATACCTGTTCTTTTCTCTGTGTCATCATGACATGATGCTTAATTATTTAAACACAGGGACAGCTTAATAAAATTGATTCAAAATGAACTGCATGGACATACAGAGCTTTCTTATGATAATGCTTTCAGTTGCATAGTGCTTTAACCCTTAATCTTGGTTTATGAATTTACTGATGATTGAAGTCAGTAAGCTTATTATAGCCTGAATAGATTCTAAAGGGTTCTGACAGTGGTGTGATGGAGGTTAGCACTTTCTAAGGGACCCAACAGGGTAGGTGTCTTCTTCCCGCTCTCTGTCACCTGAGGAGAGAAACCGATCCAAATTTTCAAAACGTGTTTCCTAGCTTCTAGAGTATCAGGTGATGGACAGGGTCGAAAAATCCAGTAATTCTGAGGATTGTTATAGGCTGTCCTCATGATACACGAGGCTTCATACATGAATATTCAGTTTTGTATGTTATATAATTAACATTTTGGTTCTTGACAGAGATGTATATGATGTACTGAATTGTACCTTTTTATTGTTTTAAATGCTATCATTATCCTTAATGGCTAATACTATGGAACTAGCTTTACATTTCTGTGACCAGACATAGAAAAATTTGAGGTTAACATACAATTTGTAGACTTAACATAAACCATTCTGATTTATCAACCTTCTTAACTTGTCACTGAGTAAGAATTTTGTATTTTTTTATTGCTAGTGGGGTGGGACTAAGTCCCTTGTACTGCGGCCACTTCTGGCCTATTGTACCAGCCAAAAAGATAGGTGAGGGTGATTTTGGAGCAGTTTGTGGAATGAAGATTGGCAGGGGGAAACCGAAGTACTCATAGAAAACCCGCCCCAGTGCCACTTTGTCCACCACAAATCCAACTTAACCAGACCTGGGATGGAACCCGGGCCACCACGGTGGGAAGCAACTGACTAACCGCTTGAGCTATGGCATGGCCTAAGAATTTTGCAAACAATGCACTAGTTATAACACTGAACAATCCAGTTTACGCAACCCAGCTTATCACCTTACCAATGTACAAAAGAACTAAACACCACATATAACTAGGAGCACTCCTGCTTCATATTTGGGAGATCCTGAGTACAAATCTTGATCTGAGAACCTGTTATCCTGAGTGTAGCTTTCATGGTTTCCTGCAGTTTCTCCAGGCAAATGTCAGAATAGTACCGCAAATTTTATTCCCCATCTCTTCCCATTCACTGTTTTGTAACCATCCTATAATTTGATGCTGTGTGAGTATAGTCTGAATTGTTGACAGCATCAAAATACAGACCATGATGAAATAAAGTAAATAAAGCAAGTTTTTTTATTTCTCTTTCTGTTATCTTTGGCAGATCCTGTTGGGCTTAAATGAATTAAGAAAGGATGGTCAGTTCTGTGATGTAGCATTATCTGTTGATGGAGTAAAATTTCCTGCTCACAGAAATGTTTTGGCTTCATTTAGCCCATATTTTAAGGTGAGATTTTTTAAACTTTTTAGTCTTTATATTGTATTTAGTTGTGATGTTGCATTAAGAACCTCTTAATGTTTCCTCCAGTTTTTGACATTTTTCAGACTCTGAATACCGTTCTGCAAATTTACGTATGTGCATATTAAGGAAAACTAGTGAATTTTCTTTCAGGCCATGTTCACGAACAAACTGGCTGAGTCTCGGCAGACAGTTGTAGCAGTTAATGGTGTCGAGTCAGCAACGATGGAACTGTTGCTGGAATTTGCCTATACTAGCACAATAGTGATCACTCGAACTAACGTTCAATCACTGTTATCAGCTGCCAACCTACTGCAGGTGTTACCTGTGAAGGCTGCAGCCTGTCTGTTCTTAGAACGACACATGGATACTACTAACTGCGTTGGTATCCATTGCTTTGCTGAGACACATGCCTGCACTGATCTCCAGATTAGGACCAGACAGTATACATTAGAGTAAGTTGCGTCTTAGAAGATTCACATAATTGATCAGTAACAACACTGTGAAGTAAGTTTTGTGAATGAGGCACTTAACAGAGAGAACCACACAACATATTTTTTAGCTTACTGATTTCACAAAAGGGAAGATTTGCACACACAAAAAAGGCATGTACAATATTTTGAAAATAAAATTATTTTCTCTGTAAAATGGTATTCTTCGTAATTTGTATGGGGCATTTGGGGATAAGTTGTTCCTAAGAACTGGTATCTGGACTGTTGTTTAATTTGTTGTGACTTGTCATTTCTTGTCCAAAATGATTGCCTCTGCTGCCTATATCTTCAGATGAGCTGAGTTACACCAATCTCCATGTAAATTATGTTTACACCCATCTCCATGCAAATTCATTATTTTTTGTCAAATAAATAAACTTATTTTCTTTTGTAAATAGTGTTTCACAAAACTACTTTTACCTATTTTCTGTATGAGTGTGTAATGTGGTCTTTTATCTTGAAGGAAGACTGAGGGTGTTGAAAACAGAATGGTGGGTGAAAACATGTGGACCTAGGAGGGACAGAGTAATAAGAGGCTGGAGAAACGTGCATAATGAGAAGCTTCTCTCAAAATATTATTGTCAAGGAGGGTGATATTGACTTGGCATGTAGAATGCATGAGCGCTATAAGGAATTCATACAGACTTGGTCAGAAAATATGAAGGGAAGAGACTGCTTGGTTGACCTAGGTGTAGAAAGGAGGATATTGATGATTAGTTGGGAGGGTGTAGATTACATTCATCTAGCTCAGAATACGGACTAGTGCTCAGCTCTTGTCAACATGGTAATGAACCTTCAGGTTCCATGAAGGGTGGGGAATTTCTTCAATAGATGGGAGACTGTTAGTTAGCTTTTTAGGAAGGACTCTGCTTCCTGGAGTTTGTTAATTATTAATGATGTTATTTTAGAACAGTGTAGAGCAGTGGTTCTCAACCTTTGTCAGACTGCGGCCTGGTACCGGGCCACAGCCTGGAGGTTGAGGAACTGTGGTGTAGAGTATCTTGCATATGAATAAGAGAGAGTGAACAGAGAATAAACAGTCTTCTGGGATGTGGCACTGTGTAGATATTGTGTTAACCGACATTTTGGAGGAACGTATCGCCTCTATCTATGGGGTAGAAGAAAAAAGAAGAAATCCACGAGTTAACCAGCGTGAGCAGTGCTAACGGACTCGAATCTTACGTAGAGAATAATTTGTTTCACCCTGGATTTTATTTTTTCCTGAAGAAATGGGCACCAGAAAAGTAAGACTTTTATCACCAGTTCATGCCAACAGTGCAGTCACTGCCTGGCAGGTGGCCATGTGCTCCTGTTCTGTGCATTAGAGCTAGCACAAGATTGTGTCAGACCCTGTCACTCCTAGTGTAGAATAGTGCTATATCATCATACGTTAAACTTTAATTTACTGGTATTTGCACTTACGTAATCTCCTGTTCACCCACTTGTAGCCTTCATTCACATATTCAATAATAAAATGACTTTGTAAACTGTAACAATTGCCACTGTTGATTTTGAAAACTAAACCCTCTATATTTTCACAGGACATTTTATTATGTGTTGTTTGCAGGAAGTGAACTCACACAGGGTAAGTCATCTATCCGTTGACATGCTTCATCTGTGAAACTGCTCAATGAATTTTGATGAATGCTGATACTGGGATCTGTACTAAAAGGAGTCCCATGATTTTACTTTCTTATTCACATTGGTGGCATTTTAACCCAGTACTTTACATGAAATTGACTTTCATTAATCTTTTCAAAATATAGTAAATTAGTATATTTTAAACACTATAGGGACTGTAATTCCTTGCAGGAATTTCTGGGATGTTGGTCACGGAGAAGAGTTCCTAGGCTTATCATCAACAAAGTTGGTAGAATTCATAAGCAGTGATGAGCTGCAGGTGGAGCGTGAGGAAGTTGTATTCCAGGCTGTTATACGATGGTTCAACCACAATCCCGAGCAGCGCAGAGCTGACTTTCATAAGGTGTGTATTTCTCGAATTCTGGTAACAGTACTCCTGGGGTATCAAAGCTGTTTGCTAGGAGTACCATGAGTTGTCATTTTCAGCATTCCCATTGAAAACTGCTACATGTGGGGGGTGCCATTTTCATTTTGAGTCAACTCTTAGCAAGCATTAGTAAGCATTATTAGAGTCAATTTTACCGACCATACAACATATTTTTATTATTATTACACTATATGTTTCAACCTCAAGAGGTCATCCTCAGGTGTACAAACACAGCTGTATAATTACACGCAATCACATTCGTCTTTTCACTCTAATATTGATTAAATACACAACAGGATGCAAGAAACAATTAAAGTCTTAATAAGCATCTTCATGTGATGCATAAAGGTGATCATTTTTATTTTATATTATTGAGATGCATTTTCAAAGTTCTTCCATTGGGTGTTTTTAACTGCTGCAGGGAGCATAAAGCACAAGATGTTTGAGAATTGTTGTAGAGGTTTCATTCTCAGCGAAGGCTGACACTGTAGTACTGACTGAAACACTGCTGTTTACTGCTGCAATCTTCTGTTTCTACTATGACTAACTGATGTTAGCTCTGCATTTGGTTTCCATGGAAACAACATAAATTCACAATCCAACAAACACTGTAGTGCATAGACTAATCATATTGTCATGTGTCTGGGGTTCCGTGACTAATAATAATGGGTTCTGGATTGGATGACTGGATTTATTGCCACCTATTACAATCACTCTTAATTATAATCAATTAAAACAGCTCACAATCAATGACTGCCTAACATTCGCTCCATTCCTTACTGGACTACGAGTGTCATCTCTTCCACTGTGACTGACTTGGTTTTGATTTACGGGTCGGTCACTTCTTCAGTTTCCGTTGTCTGCCGGTTAACACTCCACAGCTGAACACTGAACTGCCTTCTGAATCCTCTTATGACTGAATGCTGAATGAGTTATATCAGTTATATGAGTTCCTCTTTTACAACTTCAGAGCAAGCCGAATAGAGATCATCACTTCTAACAGTTCCCCTGTCATTGCGTGCATATTCATTGTCATGGAAACATGCCTAGCAACTTGCTACACAGTAGCGGCTGACTTTCCACTGTTGAGAGTGTAACCTTGGAAATGTGTTTACTCAACAGTTATCTAGCAATGGACATCTCTGTGGTGCTTCTCTGACTGCACACTTCTGGCGCTGAGGAGTCATGTCACAATATATAGATATGCAGTGTGTACCCAAACTCCATTGTGAGTTCCATGTAGTATCAGATGCTGTGTGCAGGTGCTGGAACATGTTCGTTTGCCTCTACTGAGTCCCTACTTCCTGCATGACTGTGTGGAAAGTCAGGCTGTGGTGCGCCAGTCTCCTGAATGTCGACATCTGGTGGAAGAAGCCAAGATGTTCCATTTGCTTCCTGACAGGCGTGCTGAACTACAGTCTCCCCGTACCAGACACCGTAACAGTGCTGGCACCATACAGGTATATGAAACCCCAAGTTTTCAAGTTTAAAGATATATTTTATGTGATATGAATTAATTTAACACTATGCGGCCCTAATGGCTTTATGTGTTTCATGATGAGATATAATTATTTCAACCAGTCTTCCATAGAGTCAAGTAGATGTGTATATAAAGACATCCAGGAGTTCCCTATATGGCGATACCTGCATATAACGGTTTATGCAAGTGAATTCATCGTAGGCATGGAGTTATTGTATGTTGAATGTAATTGGTTGGTAGTGCATTTAAATTTATGTAAAGTTGTCCCTGTGCAAATTAAGCACTACGCCATGAAGACGTATGGGGGAGTGGATGTATAGGTCCACATTTTCTTGACCTCGTCACTAGCTGGAGGTGAGTGGTCAGCTTCATGCTCCAGTTGCTTTACCCCCAGAGAAATAGCCCCTGGTGTCCATTGGATAGGAGGCTGAGTGGGCCCCAGAGCCTGTCTGGATGATGTGGAGAAGAGAAAATTTCTGACCCTACTGGGACTCAGACTCTGACCCCTCGGTTGTCTAGCCTGTAGCCAGTTGCCATACTGACTGCCCTACAGAATTAAAACAAAATTTTAAATAAGTTTTAACTGAAACATGTCAGTAGTTTCCTTATCATAAAACAAATACCTGAAGATGATTTAGTTTGGGTTGAAACATGTAGGACAAAAGTGTTGATAGCATTATTAAATAAAGTGTATTTGACAGTTGTAAACAAAGTCCATTTGATTTTGGAATATAGTTATAAAGACTGCAAATTTAAGATTCTTTTCTTTGGTTCTTATTATCATCATACAGCCTACATCTGCTACTAGTGTTTGGTAGTTTGTAAGACTTAAATCTTATTCTGAAAAGTGGCATCAAAATGAAAGTATTTAAATTACAGGTAGATCTTCCTAATAATATCAATAATTTCATGGTTGATATATTTTTCATGGTCCTGTATATGAAAATTAAAATGTGCAGGTAATAGTTGCAGTGGGAGGAGAAGACGACAAGGTGGTTCTGAGGTCAGTTGAATGTTATGATCCTGTTTCTCACCAGTGGCATACTCTTGCTAGTTTGCCGTTTGCTGTCAGGTACCGTAAAAACCTCAGTGTTTCAGACAATTCTGTTGTTAAACTATAATTTTTTGAGTCTTATGCTGTTCGAAACTTTGCCTTGCAGGTTAAAGCACCACATCCTAATTCCTACAATGTTTCATGTGTTAAAATGTAACAATTTTATGGCATATCATATATCTCATGTCTAATATGGCCACTGACCAATGACTTATGGTAAGTGTAGCATATGACTGAATACTATTTAAGATAATTTCACCCCACACACAACAAAAATGGTTTTTTGCTGAGTGGTAGAATCACACGGTTAAAAATAATAACGAATATACAAGCAACATGAAGAGTGTGGACTTCTGAATTGTAATGCTGTGTAGTTTGAAGGTACACCACAAGAGCCTCAAATCCATACAAGCAGTATGTTACATCCCAGTTGGCCACCTACATATAGTTAAAGCAAAGGCTTAATTCCTATTTTTTTTATTTATATGCCCATTTTTTTTTTAATTTTGTAGAATACAGATGTGTTACAAGATAAAAAGAGAAAATCTATGAGAAGACATCTGCTCATAATGTACTGATCATATGCATCAAAGGCCAGTTCAGTTTCTTATAAAATGCAAGTCTGAAATCAATGTTAATTTATAATTTGTAACTACTACTTTATTAAATAAAAACAAATTAATGTTAGAATATAAAGCTTCCTTATTAACATGCTGATTGGATGTGTAATGTATTTTGCATATTCAGCAAACATGGACTGGTAGCATCAGGGAAAAACACGCTATACCTAGCAGGCGGTGAGTTTCCAGATGGCAGTGCATCTCGTTCTGTGTGGCGCTACGACCCAGTACTGGATGTGTGGCAGGAGATGGCACCCATGTTGTTGCCACGCTCGGAACTAGGTAAGCATGTGCATTATACCGGCATATCAGTTTCATAACAATGATTCATAACTTACAGCCTGACTGTAGCCTGTTTGGTCCTTCAGGATTGGCAATGCTGGATGGTAGTGTATATGCTGTAGGTGGCTGGGAAGGTTCATTTCGCCTGGATTCCGTGGAGCGGTATGATCCTGACACCAACTCATGGCACATCATTGCACCCATGAAGATGGCTGTCACTAGTCCAGCTGTTGTTGCTCATGATGGGATGCTGTATGTTACTGGTATGAAATGCCACATGTTATGATATTAATCCCCTAATTAATATATTTATTACTATAATTCCTGTAATCATTATTATGTCAACATTCTTCAGTGTTTATATTACTAACTTCCCTGTTGGATTTCTGCATATACATGTAACATGCACATTTTCAGTATTTCGGTTTTTCAGATAAAATTTTATTCTAAATTCTTACACGTATATCAACCCCTCTTGCTCCAGAATAATTATGACTCCAGCCCATATTTCTGAAATTATGGTTTGATTCTTGGTAGGGGCAAGAGTTTTTGCTTCTTCACAGCAACCAGAGTGGTTTGTAGTTTGATTCCTGGCAGGGGCAAGAATTTTCTCTTTACAACATCCACACTTGTTCTGGGTCCCAGTGGATAAGTGGTCTAGATTGCTGTGGAGAAGAGAAAAATTCCATATGAGGAATCAACCCTAGTTCCTCAGTTCTGTAGCCTTGTCTCTATAGTGACTGAATTACCCTGGCTGCATAATACTGTGACGTGGATGGCATAGTGGGAGGTGGGTGTTGCATGAACTCTGTGTTCTCACGAGTGACATCACATGCCCCCACTCCGTCCATCAGTGTGCAACGCTTGGTAGGCACCTCTCTCCCTGCAGTGACGTAACACGGGACGCTGTGGTTGCTATGCAGCAGTAAACAACTCCCGACAGTGTTGCTAGGCTATCAGCAAACACGGCGTCAGACAACAGCAGTACCTATCACGTAACTGTTTTCTGTCTTGTCCATGCTGAGGCTAAATATAAGGAGCAGTGAACACTATTCACAGTGAGTTACGAGTTAGCCAGGGAGTCAGTCAACCAGTCAGTTGTAGTCTAGCATTTGCAGGCCAAGTAATTGTAATACTGCAGATAGCAGTAGTTGTGAAACTGTAAATGGTGTGGTTGTAAGAGCGAGTGGAATAAATTTGCTATATTCAGTAAGGGGTGAAGTTATTTGTCGCGTTATACACCCAGCACGTGACTATACTTATGTAAAAGTACAGGCATAAAATGCTAGTGGTGAAATGAAGTAGAGGGGATAGAAGGTAAATGTACAGCAAAACTTGCCAGAAATGGTAGAGTTACAGTTGTCCCTATGCTTAAGTATGACACAATGGCAAAAGTATGGGGAGTGAACAAATAGTTTTGTGCATAGTTAACCTTGGCACTAAATGGAAGTGAGTGGTGAGCTTCATGCTTCAGCTGCTTTACCCCTGGGGAAAGAAGTCCCAGTTCTCATTGGATGCTGTGGAGAAGAGAAACATTTCTTGCCCCTGTCACGAATTGAATCTCAAGTCAGTCAGAAATGGGATCATAGGAACAGTTCTGTGCACCTGTACAACTTTATAGACGATAACATTTACCTTTTCATGCAAGTATTCAAGAAAAGAATGATACAAATATGGCATTTCAGTAATATATTAATTTTAACTGTATACTTCCTGAATACAGTATCATAAACACATATCAGTTGTTTCATGTCAGGTGGAGCAGTTCTAGAGGATGGTGATGGAATTGAACTGGTGCAGCGGTATGACCCTCGTCTAAACACCTGGACAGAACTGGCACCAATGTTGATTCCCCGAAGTGGTTCATCAGCCTGTGTTTTGGATGGTTACATCTATGTTGTTGGTGAAGTATTCGTAATAGTTATTTGACTGAGGCTCAGAAATTAATGATTTAAGGATTAAAGAAGAGAAAGTGATGTATCTAATTTTGTGCATTGCACAGGAGGATGGCATGCATCAACAGAAAACACCAACAAGGTTGAACGCTATGATGTCCAGTCCAACATGTGGGAGTTCAAGGCGTCCATGTGTGAAAGGAGGTACAGGCCAGGTACGCATAGTACATTTTTTGCAATACCAGTGGTAAAGATGTGCCATCATTTTATAACAAGTTATTAATTGGATAAACAAAGCAGACTTGATAATTGACCAGTTGGATATTTTTGTTGTGGAATCAATAGCTTTTACTCTTCGCCAAGTATAATTAGAATGATCAAGTCAAGGAGGATGAGATGGGCATGGCATATAGCATGAATGAGGGTGAAGAAGAATGCATATAGGATATTGGTGGGAGAGCCAAAAGAAAAGATACCACTAGGAAGACCAAGATGTAGGTGGGTGGACAATATTAAAATGGAACTTAGACTTGATTGATCTGGCTCAGGATAGGGACAGTGGAGGGCTCTCGTGAGCATGGTAGTGAACCTTTGGGTTCCATAAAATGCAGGGAAGTTTTTGAGTAGAATTTTTATGTAAGTAGAATGTTACATAAATGCTTCTTCTTCCTATTCCTGAGCCAAGAATTGAACTGCAGTGAAATTCCTGTTTTTGATTATTTTGTGGGGGAGCAGTGGATTTGAACAATGATCTCACAATAATCTTAAGTGAAGGAAATTCAACACTAAACATGTTGACTTAGGATAATTGAAATTGGATGCGAAATGAGGGATAACCTTTAAATTGAGGAACATTAGATGGTTCTACCCTAATTTAAATCTCTTCTATATGTATCCTACAATTTTGTACCAATAAATCTGCCTCACCAGACCCTTACCTCTTAATGGTGGAACAGTATTACTTGTATGACAAGACTGTGGCTAGCATGGGCTGCATGGATTTGGCTGTCTGTCTAGTAATTGCATCTGGATTGTGTGTTGCTGAGAGCATCTCCCTAACTACGCTTTCTGCTGTGTTCCTGCAGTAGAAATCTTACAGGGTTTTGATGGGAAAGCTCGGAAGAAAGAGATGACTATAAAGACCTAGATGTAGATGAGAAGAAAATAATAAAATGGATGTTAGAGAAGTAGGGACCACTGGCAACCTTTAGTGAAGGTGTAACAATAATTCAGTGCATGTGTACTGTAATCTATGCCATTACTTGATCCTTTTAGGAGTAGCAGTCATAGATCATCGTATTTTTGTACTGGGTGGCGAGGAGGGATGGGATCGTTACCATGACACGATAGAGTGCTACTCAGCTGAAACTGACACATGGCAGCTGTCGGGAGACATGCCCACTTCAAGGTCATGGCTTAGCTGTGTACCGCTTCAAGTAAGAGTCTCTAGCCCATTGGTAACGAAGTGGTGTCATCCTCTTAGTGAAGACTGAAAGGAAATAACTTGTATGTAGTTGTATGTAACCATTTTGTAAGCATGGATCTGTGTGACTTGTACAGAATGAGCAACTGTGATACCCAACTTGAACAAATTCTGTCACTTTAAAGATACATAGGTAAAGTAAAGGTATCCGTGTAATGGGCCGTGGAGGCCCATAGGGTTGTGAGATGTTGAGGTTCCCACATTTTCTAGACAGTCGGCTCATAGATGGTGGCAAGGTTGTCAGCCCTAAGCACTGGCCGCCCTTTACCCACAAGAATATTCCAAGAATATTCCTGATACTCATTTCTGTCAGAGGTTGAGTCAAACCCAGGGCCATAGTGCGGCTGGAATGATTAGGTAAATTGAAAAAAATCAAAGGATCTCATTGGGATTTGATCCCGCAACCTTCTGGCTTGTAGCATAGTGCCTCAACCACGCTACCCAAAAATACATATTCAGAGCCAGTATCATTTTAATTGTGTCACAGTGCATTTATTTCCAGTTTCATGATAATGAAAAATTGTTGATATTTGAATATGTTAAATTTGATATAGTATTTACATTACATTCTACAAATTTTGAAATGTTTGATAAGTTTCAGGCATTTGAAGTTGAAACTGTAAGAGAATTTTCACAAAAATTGACCAGGTTATGTAATTATGATTAATTTATGCTGGGTTCTCAATGTAATGGAAGGGTTTAAACAAAAATAGATGTCGTTTCACTTTCCTATTGAATTTGTGGATATATCATATATAGATTGTAACAAAAACAAATTTATTTTAATTTAATATTAGAGTTAATTTCACCGACCACACAACACGTTTTTATTGTCACACCACATGTTTCGACCTCAAGAGGTCATCCTCAGGTGTACAAACACAGTTGCACAATCACATGCAATCACATCTTTTTTCCACTTATTTCGATCCTGTATCCTGTTCAGGTCTACGCTCAATAATATATGTCAAGTTTCTTCTTATAAAATACAAGTTAAAAATACTATTCCAAATGTTAAAAGTTAAAATTTAAAAAATTGTGCAACTGTGTTCGTACACCTGAGGATAACCTCTTGAGGTCGAAACATGTAGTGTGACAATAATAAAAACATGCTGTGTGGTCAGTGAAATTAACTCTAATATTGATTAAATACACAACAGGATGCAAGAAATAATTAAAGTCATTTTTATTTGTTCATAATTTATATACATTTGATAGCCAAGGGTATTTAACACTTCATATGTCATGAATAGTGTAGGGGAGGGGAATCCAGAGAGGAAAGAAAGTATCAAATTTACTGTGAAAGCCACTCAGGGTCATGAAATTAGTATCTACAGTTTCTTTAACAGGGCAGTGGAGACTGGTTGTAGAGGAGGCCAAGGCTCACCCAGGGCTGTAGCGTCAAGTGGTAGATAGTTTATTTACCAATGCTTCCAGTAACTTAGACTGTACAATGTCAAATAATCATGAATAATAAATTAGAAAGGATGTGGAAAGAAGCAGTCACGATTAATTTAAGGTACTATCCTGGCATGTGTCTGGAGGAACTGAAGAAAACCATAACTTCGGAACAAGCAGTGTGCCAGCAGAGATTTGAGCGTGACTTTCCCAGTACAAAGTCATCAGAATTAGTTCCTGAGATAACTCGCTTGGTAACTCATTTGATAGTTTAGGTATTACCTGAATGGAACATTATAGAATAAAATGGGAATGAATTGTCTTTTTTTTTTTTCCTTGGCAGACAACCCAGAAAAGAATAATGTACTCGTATGTTTTGAGTTGGGGGTGGAGAGCTGTATTTTAATTGAGTGTAGGGAGAAATGTTTATTAACAGTGGCAGAATTTAGAGCTAGAACTTTGAAATAAGTGGTATTGTCTTCTGTCAAATATATGTTTTCTCTGCACTGGTAAGTGCCTTCCCCTTTTCTAGTACTCATTTTGTAATAAACACATTTTATTCAGTTTAAATTTTATGTATCTTATATCTCTTATAAAATTATGAAACTGCATTTTAATGGGCCAGTTTGATGCCATTTTGAAGAACATGGCTTCTTCCATCTTCAAGGCAAAGGCCTGTGTGTTTGTAGGTCCCCACTGCCTTGTGGCCCGCAAGCATAAATATTGGTGCCAGGCTGCTTTAGTTAGATATGAGAGAAATATCTGCAAGACAGCCTACTTCAGCATATTGTGAACACCCTAGCTACAAATTAATGTAAAGCCCGAGGACTCTATATACTGTATTTTCTGTAATTCATTCACTGGATTTGGAATACAGGTATTAGTCCTTTTATATAATGCACCCTGATTCAGTTAGTAGGGATTCATATTATTGAAAATATAAACAAATAATAAATAACATGGCAGAATAATGTTTCTAATTATATATCAAATATTGGTTGTATTTTGTTTATTTTTTGCTTTGCAGCAGGGCTGGTTCTGATCTTCCAATCCTCATACTTGTGAAATACTTCAGTTCTTCCTGTCCTTGAGAAAGATCAGATAAAATTGGACATGTGTAAGAAACTTGCAAGACATGCATAACAAAGTCCATATAAATCTGCATATAATGGCAATTCCTGTCCTGTCAATCTCATCCTGAAAAATTTCAGTGCTCTAATACCCCTCCTCTCAGTTTATACTATGTGAGGTGTGAGGTTTTTCAGCAGTGTAAAGGTGGTTTTCTTGGTGTAATATGACTTCGATCATTCAGTCAGTTACTGAACCACTTGTATGGTTTCCTGTTACATATTTTCCCAATTAGCAGTATGTGTGAATTATACAGTTTGAGCGTATCTGTGGGCTTTTTGAGGGACATCTGAACCCTGTAGAGGGCCTGTTAAGTTTACTTATTCCATCTCATCTGTACACGTGAAACAATCTTAGAACTGGTAGTCAGTTTTTGTGAAATCTGATATTGGAGAATTTAAAAAAAAATTAACCATTTCAGTTTTCACTTGGACTGGTCAGTTTACATGAATATTTCTCAATATGGACAGTGGCATTAAATAACTTCATACCTTTCTGCAGGTATTGAATGTAACTCACTAAATATTTACTGGAACAAAAAATGTCTTGAACAAACGCTGATTCACATTTTATATTGAGTACACTTTCTTTCAAAGTGTTACGGTTTTTGAAGTAATCAAACAAATCAGACACTATGCACACATTTCTGAATTTCTGTGTTCAGCAGTCATCTTGATCTAATGATTACACCTGAAACCTTGATCTTTATTTTCTTTATGCATTTTTCCCCCCATTTATTAGCACAGATACTCAGGAGTATAATGTACTATGACTAGTCTTTCCATATCCTTTATACTTACAAACGTGTCTGAGTTACATACAGATCTTGTGTTTGTCAGGTCAGAAAGAACCCTTTAAAGCAGAATGAGTCCTGACAGAAATGGGTGGATGAACTTCCACAAATGCAGCAGCAGCAACACCCACCACCATTGCGTAACAACCCATGTCTCCTGCTTCGTCTGTTGTCTGACTAGTGTGGTCCAGTGTTTGTACCTTCTACTGTGGGTTCCTGTTTGGCACTGAAGAAAACAAGAAAGTAAAGGTTTGTATGATATTTACAGGAAACTTCATTCACTGCCAAAATATAAAATAGAGTAATGAAATAATCACTTTTGTAGTGGTTGAATCGTAGTTACAGAACAACTCTACTTATCCAGCTCTTGCTCAGTAATATTATTTTTAACACTTGTTCTGTAAAAACAGGAAGCATTAATGTATCACTGTTACTTTATTCCTGCATTGCTAGTATCTAGTATCTAGTATGAAACACATTTACATGAAATACTTTGTCCTGCCAAGAGACTTTTGTTTAAAACAGGGCAAATGACTGAAGGGAGCTCACTTACAAGGGCCCCAGACTGAAGAATAAAATCCTGTTTCATATAATAGCATAGATATTTATGGTGACTATTCTTCTTAATGAAGTCTCAGGGTCTGTACCCATATTATGAAACCTTAGGAAAAAAATTCAGTGGGTATTTACCCAAATAAACTCCATGTCACATGATATTAAAAATCTGAGGATCTGTGCTTTTCTCAGAAATTAAATACAATGGCTTATTACACCTTCCAGAGCAGTAAATTTTAATATTTAAACCACAATATTGAGTGAAGCACATATTTTTATGCACTTCATGGAAAATGGTGTGTTCCAGTTCAGTAAGTGGTATATATTTATAAAGATAGTAATAGTTGTAAGTTATTATGTTGTATGATAAGGAAGATAGAGTTGTGATGAACTCAATGAGGTGTGCAGAAATTTAAATTTGTAATACTAAAAATCTATTACAACAGAAATTCCTAATATAAAAATGTCCTCGCTATATAATGAAGCTGAAACCAGTTACACTTGACATATATGGCCCAGTAACAAAAAGGGTACCCCTATATCTGCAGTCTGCATACACTTTGCAACTAACTACCCATCAGATATTTCCAGATTTTCCATGTTTTGAATAATATTTAAGTACTAAGCATTTTATATACATATGGATACATATCCTGTTTGGATATGATGAAGTTTGAAGTAGTTTTAACTCACTACTCTGTATAACAATCACACAAACATTATTTCACAAATATGGTTAATTTCATGACATATTCCAGCCTATTTTGACCATCATCATACGGAGAACATTACACATAACATTATATCGATACTGCTAGAACCGTAAGTTTATTTTAAATTTGGGACATTAACTGTTATTTAGCAGTCACGTTTTCCATCTGGTGATGGTCAGAATAGACTGTATGCGCCAGTTAATATAAAGTAAGGTCACAGCTTGGATAATTTTTGTATAATGACACTGTGAGAACAAGCATAGTTATAAGATCTAAAAGTTTGTGACGATGGTAAATTGCTACAAGCACTATGTTTTTGGACATTATCCATCGTCTTGTCTGGAGATAGGGGCTAGCTCTATCTATTGGACCCAACTGAGTAGGTTTTACCTGAGGACAGGGACAGAATTCAGTCTCTGAAATGTTGTGTTTTAAAATATAAACAGGATGGTTTTTTAAAAATGGACGAGACGATGGATAATGTCCAGAAACATAGTACTTGAAGTATAGTTATGATTGCCGGGTTCCAGTGGCAGCAGTAATGTTGACTGGCCCTGCACTGCCAACTAAGAAATACAAAATAAACATGAAAAGAAATTACAGTATTGATAATGAATGTAGAATTGATCACTGATATATTCAGCACGTGCTTATTTACAAATTTTACACTATGAATGTTGTTACAAATTGCAGAGTATACTATATAGAGATTTTAAACATTCACTTGTTTATACAAACACTGCTGAGAAACCCATCTGAAAAATACTGTTGTTAATTCCAAATTCTTGAGCACTGTGTTATTCTTTCGTTCCTTCCCCATGTGTTATATGTTGTTCTTGGGAAAATAAATGGTTCTGTGGGGATACTGCTGCTAAAGCATGATACTTTTATACCCATGATCACTGGGGTGCAGGTACAAAGCCCCCAGATGTTTGTAGCAATTTTTTTGTTTATAGTTCATCCTTAGTTTTATCACTAACTCATGTGACTGCTGTTCAGAAATAAATGACACAAAACATCAGTTAAAATTGTTAAGAGTAAAAACAAATGTATGTCATGTAAATTCATTTTCTTGGGATGTGTGGATTGTGCATTGATATTTAAGATGACAATGTTTATAAACAAGATTTAATCAAAACTGTTAAAAGACTTTTTTTTTTAAGAAAACTTCCATTCATATCTCAACTTTTATGTGAAATGGTATTAATTTTTAAGCTGTATATATACTTTTGTAGTAGAATATCTTTGTGGTATAATGGGAACATTTATAGATACCAAAATGTGATAAATATCCACAGAGCTAACCATCTTACAGTGTATACACTTTTTCACCTTATTCTTCACTTCCACACTACATGTTTCAGCACTAATGTGCCATCCTCAGGTGTCTTTATGCACAACGCATGCAGTAACAGGAGCAAAACACAACACAGAACACGATACACAAATGTATGTAGGAAAAATGCTCACATAAAAGAGGATTGGTGTAATTCATGTGTTTGAGTGCAACGTAGGATGAATCCTGAAAAGTTTTATTATTTAGAATTCATCGACACATGACGAATACAGATTTTAGTCATTTTAAAATGAAGACATCATGGCATGCAGTACAATAGTTTAACGTGCATAAAGACACATGAGGATGGCACATTAGTGCTGAAACATGTGGTGTGAAAGTGAAGAATAAGGTGAAAAAGTGTATACACTGTAAGACGGTTAGCATAAACCATGGACATGAATCAGTGTAACAGGACGCTAAAATATAACATCCACAGAGCAATATACTTTGGGGAGTATGTGTTAGTGTACACATGGCATTCCAAAACTTACTTTGCGTTCATGAGAACCTAGAACACACTTGTTAAAGTCTCATTATTTATGTATAACTCTTGGTATTTATTCAGCAATAGACACAAATGTTTTTCATAACTGAGGAATACAATTTTTAGGAATGTGATGAAGTGTACTTGGGTACATACATACCAGCATTTTGGAGAAAGTTGTTCCTTCTAACTTCAGGGTAAAAGATGCAAGAAGTAGATTTCTCCAAAATTGTATCTGTCTAGGAAACTACATGGTATCACACCCAAGTAAATCTATCTTTATATTCGGTGCAATGAGAACTGGAAATCTCACATCTTCTGTAACTGTGCTATAGCAAATAGATACTATAGGGTTCTGACAATGGTGCATAACACATGGAGATACTGGGTTTTTGGACTTTGTCCATCATCCGGATTGTAAATAACTAAGAAAAACATGTTTCGGAAACTGGATCTGTTTCTGTCCTCTGGTGAGGGAAGACACCTACTCTGTTGGGTCCCTTAGAAAGAGCCCAATCACAGATGCAGTTTCCAAAACGTGTTTTTCTTAGTTATTTAGAATCCGGATGATGGACAAAGTCCGAAAACCCAGTATCTCTGTGTGCTATAGCAGTTTCACAGAAAATATTACGGACTGGAATCAAGTTCAGATGTCTTCAGTGTAACCCATAACATTTATCTGATTATAGTTATTCACACCTGAATCACTTCATGGTCTTGCTGTAACAAAAATATTAATGAATATTAAAAAACAATTATATAATACAACCGTGATGGTAGTATTTCAGCCTAGTTCAAGNCAGAGCAATATACTTTGGGGAGTATGTGTTAGTGTACACATGGCATTCCAAAACTTACTTTGCGTTCATGAGAACCTAGAACACACTTGTTAAAGTCTCATTATTTATGTATAACTCTTGGTATTTATTCAGCAATAGACACAAATGTTTTTCATAACTGAGGAATACAATTTTTAGGAATGTGATGAAGTGTACTTGGGTACATACATACCAGCATTTTGGAGAAAGTTGTTCCTTCTAACTTCAGGGTAAAAGATGCAAGAAGTAGATTTCTCCAAAATTGTATCTGTCTAGGAAACTACATGGTATCACACCCAAGTAAATCTATCTTTATATTCGGTGCAATGAGAACTGGAAATCTCACATCTTCTGTAACTGTGCTATAGCAAGTAGATACTATAGGGTTCTGACAATGGTGCATAACACATGGAGATACTGGGTTTTTGGACTTTGTCCATCATCCGGATTGTAAATAACTAAGAAAAACATGTTTCGGAAACTGGATCTGTTTCTGTCCTCTGGTGAGGGAAGACACCTACTCTGTTGGGTCCCTTAGAAAGAGCCCAATCACAGATGCAGTTTCCAAAACGTGTTTTTCTTAGTTATTTAGAATCCGGATGATGGACAAAGTCCGAAAACCCAGTATCTCTGTGTGCTATAGCAGTTTCACAGAAAATATTACGGACTGGAATCAAGTTCAGATGTCTTCAGTGTAACCCATAACATTTATCTGATTATAGTTATTCACACCTGAATCACTTCATGGTCTTGCTGTAACAAAAATATTAATGAATATTAAAAAACAATTATATAATACAACCGTGATGGTAGTATTTCAGCCTAGTTCAAGGAGTATGTATTTCATGCTGTAAACTAATTTTTAGAACAAAGTTAAATTAACTTAATTATATTTTTGTTACTCTTCCTTCTCTGCCCACTTCACTATGCATTTTATTATCTTTTGAATGGTTTCTGTGTGCTGAATTTCTTGAATGAAATTCTGTACAAGTTACAGTTTTCAGATCATACCTAATATAACACGAAAAGCAGAATTCTAATAATAAATTTTGCCCTAAGTGTAACTGAATTCATGATATGACATAATCTCAATATTTACAGAAAACCCAGCTGCATGTTAAGTATATCTGTGTTGTTGTATATATGCAGTGGAATCCGTAATAGTGTTCCATTATTTATGATTTTCCCTTATTTAGTGTTCAGTGCCTATGATGCCATCCTAATTACATCAGTGTTAAATTTCCTCTGCTTATGGTTTTCCTCACTTTAGCACTCAAATCTGTTGTCACTGAGAGGAACTTTAAATTTGATTATTTTACAATGCTGTCAGTGTCAAGACTACAGTGTTGATGATGGGATGTGGAATGAGAATTGGCAAGGGAAACTGGAGTATTTGGAGAAAACGTGCTCCAGTGCCATTCTGTCCACAAATCCCACATATCCTGACTTGAGATTGAATCCAGGTCACTGTGGTGGGAAGCCGGCAACTACCTACTGCCTAGCTACGGCAATCAGTAATATTCATAACTGGTTTACATAAAGTAATTCTGATGCATGACTTCCATCAGACTATTTTCAGTACAGATCTATGATGTGAAGGTGTTTAGTTAGGTAACAACTCTTTGTATGTACTTTTCAAATATTTCTATGGCTTATTTGTATGATTATTGCATTAGAAATATTACTCACACCATCCATTCGTAATGAGATTATTAATGAGGAACTGCAGCCCACTATTCATGTAACACTGTTATGACAGAAGCAGAAACAGGCTGCAGTTTCTTCAGTTAGCTTAAACAGTATCTGATTTTAACTGAAAATCCAAACACCTGCCCATTAAAAAATCTGTGACCTAATATTCCTGGTGATATCATTACACTGATACTTGTGAAACTTCAGAGTCCTGCCTCATTTCTTTGAATTCCCCTTTTCAACAGTGACACATCAGATCTACAAACCTTCATGAAAGGAACAATGGCTTGTTGCATAATGAAGGCCACCTCAACAATTTTGTATTTAGAGAATCAGTACAGACCTCAATAAACTAAGATTTGAAATCGCTAGTGATCAGCACATGAAAAATGCCTACAAGGTTGAGGAAATAGATTATATTTGTTCAAGGTAAAAAATATTCTTAATGGATGTACAAAGTATGTTTTAGACTGGTATAAAGTGCAAGGTGTATACAAATTCATGGAACTACCATTTTTCTTGTATTACTGCCTCAGTATATTAATGGAAATTTGATTATTTTGTGAAACAGATTTTAATGACACATGGGCATTTGTTACTGATGCAACTGCTTATTGTCTAGTGACAAAAAAAGTAAGATGTAAACATTCCAAGTTGTCATTGATAATATTCACAAATTTATTGATGAAAATCTTAAGTGTAATTATAGTTTATGAAATCCCTATTTAATAACTCCAAAGTACAGACCTCTTGAAGATGAAAAACAGTGAAGCTACATATTTGTTAGTCAGGTGTTCAAATAATGGTAACCAATCAATAAAAACAACAGTTTGTAATTAGTACTAAATGTATGTTGTGGTTACAGAGGGCTATTACCTCACACCTTTTGAATGCCAAGATAAAATCATGCTCATTCCCTTTTAACTATGAAACTATAAAACACTGACATATATTGCAAAGTTTAAAATTTCAAATATTTTATGTCAGTATTTATGTTGCTGCATGTTATAAGTGACCTGAGTATATGTATTTTGTAAAATGATCTCTTATTATGTAGAAAAGAAAGTAATTTTCATCATAAATCAATGTATTGTATATTCATGTAATAAATGTACAAACTAAACAAAGTGCTGTTCTGTTTACATTGTTTCCTTTTTATATCCCTTAATCCTTTTGAGTCTGTTGGGACATTTATTGCGATGTCTTTCGGGATCTGTATGCACCACTCATTGCAGTTCTTTCTTGCTGTTTTTTAATTAGACTTAAAAATAATAACCCAATAAACATTGGTGCAAGTATGGAAGCATGTATGGGTGTGTTTCAAGAGACATGTTTCAATGTCAGGTTACAATGCATGTATTTATGTGTTGTCACAAATGGGACACCACAATATCAACACATTCACACCGAAACACATATCATGATGATGTGTGCAATGTTTGTGACGATGTCTCAAGAGACATTTCTGTCAGATTCATGTGAAGCGAGTGACAGTATTTTATCATGAACACAATACCATACCTATTAGCAACANGTATCATGATGATGTGTGCAATGTTTGTGACGATGTCTCAAGAGACGTGACAGTATTTTATCATGAACACAATACCATACCTATTAGCAACACCAAACATGCACAATATGCACCTTTCACAGAAACAGCCACGTGTCTCATGAAACATATGTGGAAGCATTATGTTACTACTTACATCAACATGTATGTACGTACCTACCTACCTACCTACCTACCTACCACTTTGTGCTACAGCCCTGGGTAAGCCTTGGCCTCCTCTACAACCAGTCTCCACAACTAATGCGTGCTGCTACAGGGATGGACCCACACACGATGACCCGAGGTTGGTTGTTAGGTTTCTGAATAAAATTCTTTTTACAGGATGAAGTTCTACCGGTTCATCGTTCGGAAAATGTTCAGCTGAACAAATGGAAGTTACTTTGAGCAAGGAGTTATATGGGGGATGCTCGAGGAAGTCGCCAACTTCCCACCGCTGCGGTCTTGTCAAGTGGGATTTGTGATGGACAAAGTGGCGCTGGGGCAGGTTTTCCCCGAGTACTTCGGTTTCTCCTGCCAATCCTCATTCCATCAAATTCTCCATAAGCATTATCACCAGTAGAGGTACAATAGGACATATGGAAGCCGACGTGCCGAGGGGACTTAATATGGATTCCACCTCACAAGATAGAACTCTTAACTATTATAATCTACTGTAATCTATTGTAAACAATTGTAACTTTATTCTCTTATTGTAATCAGCCAATGTACAGTAACTGACTTGTCCTATATCATGTAACAATGATCTATAGGGACGAAATAAATAAATAAATAAAATAAATATACTCACCTCTCTGTGCTGCCATAACAGTTTAATAACATCCACTTCGTGATGGTCCAATGCAGTCAAATGAGGTTAGCTTTTTCCGGCTCTTTCTAGCGGATCCAACAGAGCACGTGTATCTCATCTCCGCTCCAGAGGACGCAATACGACCCAGTTTCCGAAACGTTGTATTTTTTTTTAATATCCGACGACAGAGAGAGTCCAAAACCCGGCAATCCCGAGTGTTATACATCAGCGACAGAACTCTTTTAATATCTATCAGCAACTTTTCCAACCGTTAACTGCATAGAAACATAAACACCAAACGAATTCCTTTTTCCGTCACTAGAACTACAACGCCTACAACCACGGAACTGCAACCAGACCTATTTTATAGAAATTTACCCGACGTGTAATAGTACTTTGCTAATGCCTGATACCACGTACAGGAAATTGTGTGCCAAATATTACACCGATTACACCTTTAGGTTCTGAATAATTTTGCGCAGGAATTACTTAAAATCGTATATTACGCAAATGACGAATCCAAAGAGAAAACATTACTTTACTAATCCCTGGAAAGCACGGTGTTAGGAGCAGTTAGGATGTAAGGAGGGTTAGGAAAGTGCGGCTTGCAGTAACAACGTATATAATGATGGATTAGGTGGAAATTTAAAACGTTAGTTTCATACTATCTACCACCGGTACGAAGAGTAGTTCCAAAACACCTTAAATATATCACAAATTAATGAATTGCATAAATACGTTGGGTAGAAACGAAGAAGTTGGAAAATGAGCAAGAAAAGGCGTCAAGAAGACGAAGATACGAAAAATGAAAAGAAAATCGCGAATCATTGGTCAATGGGTCTTTTGTCTTCTATGAAGGAACCAGAACTCCTAGTCAAGGAAGACGATAAAGTGGTAACTATAAAGGATAAATACCCAAAGGTAAACAAACGGAAATATACCAGGGGTAGCCAACATTTGGAGTATGGTGTGACTAAATTTTATGTTGAACCACGAGAACCAATGTTGACGGTGGCCTTAGATAATAATTATGTAACAGAATCATTTAGATGCATACTAAAGACATTCTTACACCATAATAACATTGTATTAAACAGTGAAAACTGCACGTACAAAATTGTACTATTAAACCTGTTTTTGCCTACTTTAATGCAATAAGTCGTTATCTGTTTTTAGTCTGCATTACATACATACATACATCAGCGTTTCAGAGTATTCACAAGTGTGCAACTGGCACTGAATATAAAACTTGCCAAACAACAGTCTCAAGACAATCACAGATAAAATCGCAGAAACATCAATTCAGCCCTAGTTAAAATCTAAACTGAGTACCTCAAATAAATAGATACAATGTTACACATTCAATTATACCAACAAGATAATTAGCAATACATAATAATTCTCCTTCCTTAACTTACACTTACATTTAATGTCTATATTAATGCCTACTGTGGGACATCCATCAGTCAGCATGCACCCCCCATCTATTCCTTAGCTGTTGATCCTGACAGAAGAGCAAAAATTCATCAACAGTATATGACGGATTATGTATTAGGACATCTCTTATTTCATTTATAAACTGTTTTTTATCATGTACTAAGTTAGATAAATATCCAGGCAGACTGTTAAATGGACCCCTTTCTCTGCCTCATTGCGAGATGTGATTGTAGGACATGTAGATTTCTTTCGTGTCTTATTGGTCTCTCATAAATTGAATAATTAAAAGTAAAATACTCCAAGTTATTTATCATAAAAGTCATCAGAGATAAAATATATTGAGACACCAGTGTTAATATATTTAACTTTATATAAATGCTGGCCTACATGACTCTCTATGTTTCATCCCCATCATTATTCTAATAGTCTTCTTTTGTAAGAGAAAGATCTTCTTGGCCTCTGATGAATTACCCCAAAAAACTATTCCATATCTCATGAGTGAATGAAAGTATGCATGATATATCATTTTAAGTGTTGTAACATTACTGTATGGTTTCATAATTCGTATTGCATAACATGCCTTTCCCAGTCTGGGTAACAGTGATTCAACCTGTGTCTTCCAATTCAAGCACTTGTCAATTTCAATGCCCAAAAATTTAATATGAGTTTCCTCTTGTAATAATTCATCGTTAAACTTTAAATGTACAGGCATATTGTCACGATTGATTGTTTCAAATTTTAACACTTTAGTTTTCCTCAAGTTTAGGGATAAGCCATTGTGTTTACACCACTGAATTAAGGAATTTAACGTACGTTTAGACCTTTCTTGAATTTCACTGATATTAATACCTGACACTAATATAGTTGTATCATCGGCATACAACAATGACTTGTTGTCAGTACTTAATGCTGACGGCAGGTCATTAATATATAAAAGGAACAACAAAGGACCCAAAATCGAGCCCTGTGGCACTCCATATTTGACAGTTCCCCAGTCTGAACAGCATTTACCATTTTCATTATTATAGAGTTCAACTCTTTGTCTTCTATTTTCCAGATAGGACTTCAACCATATTTTTATTTTACCACCAATGCCGTATGTTGCTAATTTACTCAAAAGAATATCATGACTCACACAGTCAAATGCTTTTGTCAAATCACAAAAAATTCCCAATGAATGATTGCGTCTTTCTAACGTCTATAAAATATGATTAGTCAATGTATATATTGCCATTTCTGTGTTACTGCCTTCTCTAAATCCAAACTGTGCAAAAGACATTAAATTGTTTGTATATATGTGTTGCTTTATCCTATTGTACACCACTCTTTCAAAAATCTTAGAAAAACTTATTAGCAATGATATTGGTCTATANTTCCAGATTCTCAGCTACAGTTATAAAGTATTTATTGAATACTTCTACTACTTCCTTAGTATTAGTTACTTTGCTATTCCCCACTTTCAATTCGGTTATATTATCTGGGCCCCTCCATTTCCCAGTTTCTTTATTAATAATCTTCCAGGTTAATTGTATTTTGTTTTCCGAGTTACTTATAAGTTTTTGATAGTACAATTTCTTAGCTTCTTTTATTACTTTCGTTAATGTCATACAGTACCTTTTATAGTATGATTCCAATCTTTCATCCTTTGACTTTTTAACTAAGTTATATAAAGCCGATCACAGCTACTTCACCACCATAGAACTGAACACAATGTTGTAATATTATGATTTCAAGTAAATAGCTTTGTAGTGTCAATTACAAAAGTTAGGACACTTCAGTATCTCTGGCATGGCTGTAACCAGCCATCATTGTTGTTTATTTATGCTGTTCTATTAAACAGCAGAAATAAAATTCTGGTGTATTTTAAAACACTACTTATGTACTTATAATACAACTTGCAGATGATTATATTCCATTTTTTAATAAAAAGGAGGAAAATTATCAGATGAAAAGTGTTTTAAAATCAACCAAGGAAGATTTAATGTTCAGTAGTTCTTATTTTGTTTCTTGAACAGGCCCAGTATCATTTCTTGGTTCTGCCTAAAGAAAATATATCCAGTTTGGCTAAAATCACGAAGGATGACATAGAACTTTTGAAGCATATGGATAAAGTGGGTCAAGAGCTGGCTGAAAGTCATCCCAATTCAAACTTTAAGTAAGAAATATCTGACACTCTATGTATAATGCTATATAAAATATGTATTAAAGAGTAGTAATGGCATACTATTTCTGCTTTATTACAACACATTCTTCTTTAATTAGAACTACATGACCTGGAAACGATATAGCTGACTGGCCTGTCACTGTACTCACAATTCAGGCATTTTATAACTTCATGTTTTTAATCTTTATTGCATGAGGTTTTTGGTTGAAGGTTGGGCTATCATGCAGAAGCAAGTATGAGTCGACTTCATCTACATGTCATCAGTGATGATTTCAACTCCACTTGCCTTAAAACCAGGAAGCACTGGAACACATTCACCACAGATTTCTTTGTACCATCAGTCAGTAAGTTTTGACAAATAATAGCAGTAATTTTTGTAGAAAATTCCCATACCAGCATTGCTGAACTTATTTATCAAATAAATAACAGGGTGGCCATATGTCCTAATAGTATAAAATAGTACGTTATGAGATTTCAGGTTGTTTCAACATTATCTCATTGGTTTGAATTAAAGAATAAATTATGGATTTAATCACTCAGTTGTAAAGGGCAGTGTTCTATAAAGATGTATGATTTCTGGTGGATATCAAATAGAGTTGAGTAATATAAACATTAAAAATACCGTTATTTACATTTTATTTATTTCATGTTTCAACTTCCTTTCATTCATTTATACAACCTACTTCAGTATTTCTGAATTTTTTATGTGTATATACTTTGTCTCAGGATGAAACTTCATATACCCCATTTCAGTCACCACTAAATTCCTATGCAATACTTTATCATGCAAGAGCTTTGTTTAATTTTAAACAAAATATATTTATTTCGAAGAAAGCAGTCTTCTGGGATTTGGCACCGTGTATATGTGGTGTTAACCGATGTTTCGGAGGAACGTATCGCCTCCATCTTCAGGGTAGAAGAAAAAATATAAGAAATCTGCAAGCAGAGAGACCGTGAGAACCGGTAAAAGCAGACTGTGTGGAAATATACACAGCTATGTGAGAACAGAGAGGGAGAAGGGGGAAGGGCAAGTATACAAGTGAAAGCAGTAGTGTGGGAGGGGTAGGGGAAGGGAGCTGGGACAAGCGTGGTTTTTGTGTAGGGGAGAGAAAGGCAAGGTTAAAGGCTGGGCACAACCCGTAAGCTGAGGGGGGGGGGTTGTTATATTGGTTGGTCATGGCCTGTGTGGCCTTCTGGATCTGGCGTCATATCCCGGTGGGGGTTTTTTAAGAGAACAGATGAGAGGTTTCCAAGACTTGCTGAGACAAAACCCCCCATCTCTGTTCATATTTCCTGGATGCAGTTCAATCTCAATTGCCTCCCAAATTATGCGATCCATGCAGCGGGTCTTGGTGGCGAGGATGGAGGTATTCTGAAGCTGAATGCGGTGTCCCAGATCGATGCTGTGTTCGGCT